CAGACCAGCTTGGGAATGAAAACATTAGTACGAACAAAATAGAAATAATAAAAATACACAATATAATGCTTATCCGTTTAGGCATGATATAACAGCAATTCATGTTTATTAGAAAGATATTCTGAGTATATACTCAATTTATATTAGAGTAAATAAAACATAACGGAAGTGGTGTCAATGAAGTATGGGAACTTCTGAATGGCATTTTATTTCTTATATTTTTTTATCATTTATAGCCAAATGATTAATCAATTTGAATGCAAAAGATAGTAGATACATCTAAAACACTCATTAATTGAAGCTCCATGCAGCACTTACTAACGTCTTCAATCAAACATTAGAGGGTATATTATATGTTATTGTAAAGACAATTTCATCAATGAAAGAGAATATGTCTGACTCACAATGTATCCAGGCAGTGAAATCACATGATCTTCTATGTATGGCTCATGAATAATGCAAACAATGGGTCTTGTGATCCATGGTGTTGACTTAACGCTCAGCCACCATCAGCACGCATACCATCTGAGCGCTCCAGAATCAGCCTCCAGGATGAACCAGCCATTTAACGGCTCGAAAATGAGCAACACACTACAGCAACACACACTCGCACACAAACCCATACCCATAAACACAATCTGTACACACAATACACAACCTCCGATACACATACATACACACCAGACATACACATCAGATTAACAAACACACACACAAACAGAACAACACACATCAGAATACATACTGCAGCACACACCTCAGTACACACCTCAGTACAACACTCGACTTACAACTCAGCACAACTCAGCACCATAGGCATCATATTCTCCTGTTGAACTTAAAACCCTGGTACTGACTCCTCTCTCACTCTTTTTTGCTGATTTAACAAAACAATTAAAATAAGCAACCAGTCAATAAGCCACCAATGATAACACTGTAAGTTAGTTTATCCCATTTTAACTGTATTAGATAATATTATTTTAACTGTACATATGTATTTTTTTATTGAACACTGTACTTAAATAATGATAGAGAATTATTCAATGTTCATTAGTAGTGGTGTTGATGTATTATAAAAACCCAACCACTACGGAATGCAGATGAAAATCGAAGCTATTAGACTCAAAAATCTGGCATAAAATTCATCTCTTATACTTTTCTGAGATTAATGTACTTGTGTGCATGGTCCTTGTTGAAATAAATACATAATAATAATGTATACTGGGGAAGACATGTCCCCACCACTTTTGGAAATGGCCAATTTTGCCCCCACCACTTTGCATTCGGATAATTTGTAAACAATGTTCTGAAAATAGCGTGCACAAAGAATTGTACACTTTGAGAAAGGTTTATTTGCACAAGAGAACTTGTACATCTCAAGGACTGTTTACACTCTTTGTTGGTGTATTTCTAGTAACCCAAGTGGTTCAATTTGGACCTGCGACACGTTTAATATGAGTAATAATTTAATAGAGAATATTAAAGCAGTAGTTGCTCCCGCTTTGCAGCAGCGTAGCATACAGCACTAGTTGTCCTAAAAAGTATTGTGAAGCACGTACTGCAGTAGTGTTTCTGTAAAAAGTATTGCCACTACTTTTTCTCAGAACGCACTCAACGAACTACTTCCAACTCATGTAGCAATTATCATCTCTTACTCTGTTTATAAACTAGCTCTTAGCATTTATCATCACTAGCACTGTTACTCTGTCCAGTTCTATACTCCATACAGCACTAAATGCTCATAGTATGTAAGGTACTATATTCAAATCAAGTCTAAGTCCCTTAAGCAAATTCTAATTTCAGTACATTCACAGAAATGTTAATGATTGTGTGTTTACTAATTTCAAGTAAACATCCCAACATGTGACATGGTAACATTATGCTATCATAGCTGAGCGTTTTGCATATTTCGTCCGTTTTTTTGTGTTATCTTTGCATATAAACGCGATTTGAGTCCCTAATTTTTCACTTTGCTGCATCGTCAAGTCTTCATCAGAATGAGAGTGTGTTATTAGTGTGGAGTAAGGTCAAGTAAAGTCCCCCACCTCTTCATATTTGCGGTCGGCCTCCTCAGCGATGTGTTTGGCCTCCTTCAGTTGCATCTCCTGGATCTCCATTTTCTCCTCGTCTTTTGATGCTCTGTTTTCTATGACCTTCATTCCTCTGGAGGGATAAGAGCAAGCAGTCAGTCAGAAACAAAAGAGGGGTTATACTCAGTATGCTGCTCTCTTTATCACTCTGTGCACGTGTCCATCAGGTACAGTTCAGATGGGAGTTACACTTTTTACGCTGCTATGGACAATCTTGCACTAATGCACATTTTCCAAAGATATTGAAGTGATATTGAAATGTATAAATGTGTCTGATTGTGTGTATATAGGTATCATATTTTTATATATATTTGTTTTTGTATTCGGGATTTCGGGAAACGGTATGTTCAATCTCTCTGCATGTACACACAAACTGAAAGATTGGCAATAAAGTTGACTTTGACTTTGAGTAATTGACCTTGAGCCCTTTCAACAATCCGGTAGTTGAAAAAGGGTTCCTTTACTGCTGCTACTTCTACATCTACTCTTTTAGTTTGTCTTTATCTGCGCTCCCCCCTTCCCTGTAACAATGTGAGTTTCCCTGCTGTGGGACCAAAACAAGATTTTTGATTTCATGTGTTACTCTTAACCGCTGGTATTTTATAATGACAAACAGACTAACATAAAGCAAACCACAGTGATTCACCATAGTTAAGCAGATTTCGAAGACTGGGGAATTCCCCCTTATTTGTTCTTGCCCCCTCTCGCAGTTTAACTTTGCAAACTGACTCATTTAATTATCACAGTCTCATGATGATGTTCACCTCTCGCTCTCATCAGCTGCCTTCTCCGCCTCCTCCAGCTTCTGCAGAGCCGTCGCCAGTCTCTCCTGAGCGCGGTCCAACTCCTCCTCCACCAGCTGGATACGTCTGTTTAGAGAAGCCACTTCTGCCTCAGCCTGCACACACACAATCGCACACACACACACACACACACACACACACACACACACACACACACACACACACACACACACACACACACACACACACACACACACACACACACACACACACACACACACACACACACACACACACACACACACAGAAAGAGATATCTTGAGTCGCCTTATAGCTGTATTGACAATGATAACTATAGAGTTATGGAGGTCTATAGAACAGCAGAAATGGTATGCATGATCAAATACTTACTTAAACATTATGCATACAACAATTCACGTTTTGCTATATCTATATTTACCTCTTGGATTCTAAAGCATAAATATAGCCAGCCTCTAACACTAATTAAGATTATAGATTAAGATTAAGTCATTTTCCATATGGTTTATATGACACCAGTCTGGTCAATGTATTATCTGAAGCTGAGATAGATCAGAAACACTGACACAACACTGATCTAGACTTTTTGTAAAGTAAAGTCATCTATAAATAAATAACAATAAAGAAACAAAAAAAGCTAAATTGTTGTAAAAACAACAGGCAACCAAAAAAGGAACAGATAAATAACAACACAAATTGGATGTATTAAATAATTTAACATCTTTAGAGAGACATATTTGTCAGTGTTTAGTAGTTTAATACTGCAGATTAAACATGACGTCATGACATTAACCGCTCATCCTTTCACGTTAAATTTCGCCTATAAATGTAATTAGCCCTTTTCTACATGACGCATATTAGCCTCCAGGTAGCAGTTTGTTTTACGATATTATGTTCAACTTGAGAGAGACTCTACAGGTGAGTTGATGGGCTCCATCATTTCCGAGGTGTGTTACCCTCGCTCTGCCCCCCCTCTCCACGTCCGCCTCGCGCTGCAGCATCTCGGCCTGCTCCTCCGCCTCGAGCGCGATCTGCTGCAGACCCTGGATCTTCCTGCGCACCGCGTCCATGGAGGCGAAGGTCGCCATGATGTGTGTGTGTGTGTTTGTGTGTGTTTTTGAACACATACTCTCTACCTGCTTCTTCTCACAGGTGTCACGTCGTTTCCCTGGCAACGGCGTCAGTACGCGAGGGTTTTTCTGGTTACAACTTCAAAATAAAGCGATTCAAGTTAAGTATCTTATTTTGAAATGACACTTTGCGCACGAATCGGTATGAATAAAAATAATTTAAATATTATATTTGCTCAAATTGCACTGATTAATATGTTTGGCTTTCAAATAAACTAAAAGTAAAATGTCTCGTTTAGTGTAATAGCCCATTTCAGAATGTTCATCAGAGTGATGGGCTGTGTCCTGTGGATATAAACTGATCCTGTGTCTGGTAGTTTTGGCCCACAGTGCTCTGCAGCGCCACCCAGAGGGGAGAAGCTGGACAAGCAGGTGTTGAACTGTTTGTTGACAGTGATACAGAGAACAGACTGGATTAACAAATAAAATCAAAATCATTGGATTATAATTATTGACCTGTTAATATGTCGCAGTTGGTAAAGATGGAGGTCATTAAAACTAATTTATAAACTACTAGACACCCTGGGGTCCTTGATGGATTTCCAGAGGTTCTCACAAAACATTGATAAGATGCAATATAATGCTCTCGTGTCAGTCTGATTTCGGGAAAAAGTACAATATCCTTCTGAGATGTTGAGTGATAGATTGACAAAAAGCTTAAAATGGAAATACACAAGTAAAGTACAAGTACCTCCAGTACTTAATTACAGTACATAAGTTAAGTAAATGTACTTTACAACAATGGTACCCTCGTTTGCTGCACTTTACCCATACTATTGTAACTTGCAATTAACTGTGTTCTGCTTGTATATGGTCCTAATTAATTTTTGAAAGTTAATTTAAATAGTGTTATGCTTGAGAGTAACTGAGACATTGCTGACTGTGAATGTTCTCTGACTTCATCACTAAATCCTCTCCCCTCGTGCCTGCTGCTGCTGCGTTCACCCAGTGTGTGTAAACCTGATGTCCTGAGGCATGAGTGAAGCAGCATGAAGAATAAACAAGGCTTGCATTGCTTCAATTCTTTTCCATCTTTGGTCACATCACGGTAACCTCGTCACTCTTTCCGCACCGCTCTGAACTATAACTGGTCATAAATGCTGTGACTCGTAATGGATAGTGATGTCGTTGCTATGCAGATTTATTATTACTGATCGAGTCAGGGGAGAAAGTTAAATAAAGTGGATATACATAGAAATAGATACCAATAGGTACGAGATAGTAACTTAAAGGTCGAAGGATAAAAATGGATTCTGATAGTTTGAATTCGAGGATCTTATTGGGGTCAGCCCAAGATTCCCCGTTTGTTAACTTGCAGTGTTTTAATCGGGTCACTAGCTGCTCTTATAGGGGTTATTTAATGCAGAATGATGCAGCAGTCGGTGAAGTTTGAGAGCATTTTTCTTACTTGAACAATGTTTAATACAGACAAGCATTTTCAAATAATGAAAGATCAGTGATAGTACGTATGAGGCGTCAGCAGTCTGGGTTTGACAAATCATTTCGCAGTCTTCTTAGTGTGAAATCCCCTCTTTGTGTTTCACTAAACAGTGTTTAACCACAGTGGAAGTACAGTCGGTAGCAAATTGTGGGCTAATAAACGTTGCAATTTGGGCTATATTACCTTCAGATTAGCTTTTTATATTAAAGTGCACTGCAGGAAAAGTTGAGACAAGATACACTTTTGTTCTGAACAAATAGGTGTTAGTTTCCCGAACGTGTGATTTTTATTTTATTTACTAACCTGTGTCTCAAATAAATCTGTGTTGTAAATATTATTAAACTGTGTTTTTTATGTAACCTGTGTTGTCTTACTCACCTGACTTGTAATCCTACTAACTTGTGTTTTTTTTAACTTACCTGTTTTTATGAATAACCTGTTCTTTTATAACCTGTTTTTTGTACTAACCTGTTTTACCAACCTTTTAATTTGTTACTAACCAGTGTTTTTTTGTTAATGTTGCTCTGCGTTGGCACCAACATCCGTTCTTACTGTCCCTGTTTGTGAGATTTGTTTAGTATACCAATAGTACTGGTATAATAAGTACATATATCCAGAGCCGTCCCTCTCTATAGGCCGATCATGCAGACTGCGCGGGGCCTCACCTTGCGGAGGGGGCCTCAACTGAGCCGAAAATGCGGCACAATTAGTGTGGAGCGAAACAGAGGGCCTCATCATATCACTTGGCGTGGGGCCTCATGTTGGCCAGGGACGGCCCTGCATATATCTCTCTCTTTCTCCATAAAAGCCCCCCATGAGTGTCAGAGCGGCAGCAGCTTCTGCAGGCTGATGCCGAGCGAGGACTCCAGAAACCAAATCCTCTCCGCTAAGCTCCTCAGATCTGTTAGAATAGATGGCATTCGCCTGGAGGTGCTGACAGGCTTTATGATATGTTGGTTGAATCTGATACTCCCCCTGACAGAGTTAACACAGCCTCTCCTGCTGCTGTCAGCGGCCAGAAGCTTTCTGCCGGAGCTGATGGTGATGCTTTGGAGATTTAGCACCACCATCTTTAAGTCGTGCTCCTGAAGGTCAACATTAAACAGGTTCTGATTACTGAACGTGAGATGTGGGACTTTGACGGACAGTAACAAACTGCTCTGGGCATATTTTTGAAACACAGGAGGAGCGTAGGCTTAGCAGTGTGGGTTTATAGCTCATTTTGACTGATGGGCCACATTTATAACGGGGTAGTAATTCAAGTTAAGCAGCTACTTGTTTGCACCGCCCGAAGGAAACAGCACATGAAGTCAACAACACGGCACCTGTGCTGCTGTGTGTCTGTCTGTGTCTCTGTGTGTGTGTGTGTGTGTGTGTGTGTGTGTGTGTGTGTGTGTGTGTGTGTGTGTGTGTGTGTGGTGGGTCGGGGGTGTGTGTGTGTGTGTGTGTGTGTGTGTGTGTGTGTGTGTTGTGTTTGTGTAGCTGGAGGAGGAGCTGCTGGGTCTGCAGAAGAAGCTGAAAGGAGTGGAGGATGAGCTGGACAAATACTCGGAGTCGCTGAAGGATGCCCAGGAGAAGCTGGAGCAGGCGGAGAAGAAGGCAACAGATGTGAGTGAAGGGAGCTGATGCCTCGGGTCACATTACTGCAGAGGGCCGACTATATTAAGACCACATTAACCTATTGTACTCTGCCCGGT